AATTACCCAAGGCCCAATCCCACTCCACCAGGCCCAAGTGAGGTTCCATCCCAAACTCAATTGGTAATGGGTGGAGTAGCCCACTTGCGCTATATGGTGGATTTATTTTCTTCCCATAACCGATGTGGGATTTGTTTGTCCCAACAGTTGTATACGCCCACACTTCTCACAATGCTGAGCTATTTTTCTCTTCACATGGATCAACAAGAACAAACATCATCCTTGAGCGCGGGAACTCTAAGCACCTCTTTTCAAAACTCAAGAACTCTAATTGCTAATTGGTGAAGGTAGGGTTTTGTTTTGGTATTTGATCAAAAGATCTTTTATATTTTGATCGGTAGGTTGATGGAAGAGATATTGAAATATGTATTTAACTTTCAAAGAATAAACTCTTTACTTACATCAAAACTCTACTAATGATGGATCAATATATGAATGCATGAATATCGTGTTGAATCAAGGAATCAAAGGAATGTGTTTTTGGATATTCAATAATGTGATCTCTAAGGCAATCTAATGATTCAATACACTTTTGGGATGGATTTATAATGGTTAGTGTTTGTGGTGAAAAGGGAATCAAAATTAACATTAAAATCGAATCAAGATTCTTTGCAAACGTCATCGCTGCTCAAGCGCTAGGCTTGGTGCCAAACAGGACGGTCATAAGCGGTGTTAAGTCCCTTTTTTGTCGAATCTTTATATTCTTCTTATATTTCTTTGACTTCTTTTTGAATTCCGTCAACCCCAAACTATTTTTACTATAGCTAAGACTCAATAATTCATATTTTGATTTTGATTACAACTCAATGAACTCCTAATACAATTTATCTAAAACATGATTTTGACTAAAGAAATTGCCAATTACATAAATTAACAAATTTATTAGGTTTACCCACTATTCAAAACACTACAAACCCCCTTCCTCAACCACCATCGCGATTGTCACCTTCGTTGTCACCGTCGCCATCATCACTAGAAACCAAGACATATAAAACCAAAAAAAAAAAACCATTGCGAATCCATCTAACCCGGAATAATACGAAATACATTATTTTTTATCACCATTCCATAATTCCCATAAAAAAATTCCAAACCAAAATTTGGTATCATCGATTGCAATTAATTTTGTATGAGTTAGTGGTGGTGAATGGATTGTGTCTTTTTCATTTTGTTTGGTTGACGTGTTATTGGGGGTGGCCATAAACTGATTTCAGGTAGTTGATGATTGTAATGGGGATGATGGAGGTGGCAAGACATAGTGGTGGCGGTACATTGCAGTTAGGGTTTAGGTGTTAGCCTGATTTCAATTGGACAAGATTTGAGTGTATGCAAAGAGGAAGTGGTGGTAATGCACTGAGAGAATCATGGTGCTTGGGGCTAGTTGTTTTGCTAGGTATAGGGATTTTGATTTGGTTTGAATTTGTGTAGAATTATGTAACACATTTTGTCAATCCACAAGTAACGCAGTAAAACATTAGGTGACTTAAGAAATCAATCACCATCGCTACCACCTATACAAGTAACACATTTTGTTACTTGTGTTTTGTAGCTAAACATAACACATATCCTGTGTAAAATAAGGAAACATAGAGGTAACACGTGAAAAACTAGGTAACAAAATATGCTATTTAAATCTTGAGAAATTTTTATTTTTAATGAAAGTAAAGGTATTTTTCAAAAAGTTCTAGCTACAATTAAGTAAATTCGACAGAGCGAAAAAAAATTGAAGTCTTTTTTGGAAAGAAAAGTAGTGCTTACTTTCAATCCTCTGCGCGTAATTGTAGGACATTTCTAGGTAAAAGAGGTCTCAAATGTAGTTACAACTTATAATAGTGTCAATCATTTATTACACATTAAAGACATTGAAAATTTCAAATCTGATTATAATTTTTAATTTCTCACATCCGTACTATTTGACTAAATTTGGCTTGCTTGTGCCTATGAGGTTATTCCCAATACCAACAATTTCAAGAATTCATTTTCTATAGCTAGAACATACGAAAAATTAAACTCGACGAGACTTTTACGCATGACCTAAATCATGTACATGATAATGGTACTGTAGCAAACAATTGTCATCCTTTAAAAAATTAAATTGTATGCTTGAGTATCTTTGATGCATCGATGAGTAATATCAATTAATATGATCAAATATTCATATTAGGAAATTGCTGCCTTATTTGATATGGCAATCTGGCTTCAGTATATTCTATTGAGCAACTTTAATATCAACTTAGTATTTAGTGATGGCTAAATGATGTAGTGATTTGTTCACACGAAAATATTATTATAGAAAATGTGAGCTTAAGAAATTAATTAGAGCAGAATGAGTATTGATACGAATTTAATTATATCTTTATTATTCTGTGACCTTTAAGATGTACAATGTTTGAAAGGATTACAGTTACGAGAGGAAATAGAAAATTATTTTTCTTTAAAATTATTTTTTAACATAACTTTAATCAATATTTAATATTTTTATTATATAAATAGTTTTATAATTTAAAAGTTGAAATTTTTTCCTTCATTGTGATTATATGAATACAAGAGAGAAGAACGACCTTGAAGAGAGTAGTATTTTGAGTTGGTTGGTCAATCGTGCTCGACTTAAATAAAATTACACGTTCATTTTTCTCATTAATAATTAAATGTTTTGAAAATAATTATAATTAAACAATTTTTTTTTTTTTTATTAAATAGAATAGGTTACTTACTTTGAAATTTACCTTTTATTACTATTATACTTCTAAATAAGAAAATATCTAAAGAGATTTGAAAACAAATTAAAATTGCTTAAAATTGAATTTTAAGTAACTTTTAAGTTTAGACATCTCCCATTCAATTTTCTTACGTATTTGAGGCAATATATGTCAAGTAAAGAACCAGACAAATTAAATCAATTACTTCGAATCATCTTGTATTCACATGCACAGCAATTTTAGCAGCCATTGTCATGGAAAAAAAGCTATGGACCATATAGAAAAGCTATTCATTAATTAAATTCAGTGGAAAAAGGTTTCGCTAAAAATCAGATTTTTAATAAAAGTTAATAAAATGTACGGTTGAAAAATTGATTAAAATTGTGATTTTTTTTCCTGTTTTTGTTATCTCTGTTTTCTTGTTGGTTGTTGTATTTTCTTAGCATTGGGTGCACTGAATCTCTCTGAGGAGAGCATGGTGTAGGAGATTTCTCTCCTTGTATCCAGCTTCATGCTGTTTGGAATATATGGTTGTTTTCTTCAAAAAAAAAAACCAAATATTATCATAAGAATATTAAAAGTTCGACACCACACACTATTGTAAAGCCTTTTTATCATCTTATTGACTTGAATTAAAAGTTATATTTAGAGTATGTTTGGGATACATTCTTTTGAAAGAATATATTATTGAATAATAGATTGATGGAGATTGTGTAATTAAAAATGAAGGAAAAGTTATTGATGTGATGGAAAATATTATTTTATTAAAAAATGTGTGATTGAAAATGAGTAGAAAAATGAAAATGAAAAAAATAATATGTACCAAACATGACCTTAAATCATTCTGATATAAAATACATTTTCACTCCATGTCTAATGTGCTTGATAACACGACAATACTAAATGTTGCCTATGGTACGATGTAATCCTACACAATATTGCATTCCAAAGATTCCATTAAATGTTAAGCATTTCAAGTTCAGAGAAAGGACAAGCCTAACCATGGTCCACAGATTACGGAAAAGTGACATTTCTGAGTTTTTTTGGTCAGGTTTCCAAGGACAAGAATTTCCTCCGTTGTCCAAAGTGTAATTTTTTCCCGTGTAATTAGCAAAAAAATATCCATATCGTTTGTAATTATTGTGAAAATAGTCCCTATTATTTTAAACTTGACATTTACACCTTTACTTCAAACCTTTCTTGCGTAGTTGGTTTTTTCCATCATGTTCTCTTAAATCTTTCCATGAAATATGAGTAATTGGCGCAAAATATCCTTATCGTTTGCCTTTATTACGAAAATAATCCTCATGTTTTAATTTTGACATTTGGGCATTCAAATACCATTTTATTGCGCAAAAGATCCTCACTATCAATTTTCTCCATTAAAACATTGTAAAATGGATAATTTACCATCTCCTTTAAATAAACAAATGGAAAATAAAGAAATAATATAAAAGCATTATATCTAGAGTTACAATTGTTTTGAAAGTACAAACGAATCTCATGT